AATAAAAACATCATACTATACTATGTCCGAAAATGCCATAAAAACGTCATACTATACTATGCCTTAATATGCCATGAAAATGCCATACTATACTGTGTCGAAAAATGCCAAAAAAAGTCATACTATACTATGTCGAAATATGCCATAAAAACGTCATACTATACTATGTCGAAATATGCCATAAAAACGTCATGCTATACTATGTCGAAAAATGCCAAAAAAAGTCATACTATACTATGTCGAAATATGTCATAAAAACGTCATGCTATACTATGTCGAAAAATGCCAAAAAAAAGTCATACTATACTATGTCAATATGCCATAAAAACGTCATGCTATACTATGTCGAAAAAATGCTAAAAAAAAAGTCATACTATACTATGTAGAAAAATGCCAAAAAAAAGTCATACTATACTGTGTCAAAATATGCCATTAAAACGTCATACTCTACTATGTCGAAATATGCCATAAAAACGTCATAATATACTATGTCAGAAATATGCCATAAAAACGTCATACTATACTATGTCGAAATATGCCCTAAAAACGTCATGCTATACTATCTCGAAAAAATGCCAAAAAAAAGTCATACTATACTATGTCGAAATATGCCATAAAAACGTCATGCTATACTATGTCGAAATATGCCATAAAAATGTCATGCTATACTATGTTGAAATATGCCATAAAAATGTGATATTATACTATGTCAGAAATATGCCATAAAAACATCATACTACTATGTCGAAATTTGCCATAAAAACGTCATGCTATACTATGTCGAAAAAAATGCCAAAAAAAAGTCATACTATACTATGTCAAAATATGCCATAAAAATGTCATACTATACTATGTCAGAAATATGCCATAAAAACACCATACTATACTATGTCAAAATTTGCCATAAAAACTTCATACTATACTATGTCTGAAAATGCAATAAAAACGTCATACTATACTATGCCTCAATATGCCATAACAATGTCATTTTTTAATTTAATTTAATTTTTTAATTTTATATACTTTATTAATCCCCGAGGGGAAATTCAATTTTTCACTCTGTTGTCAATTACACACAGGTCCGAACACACACATGCACAAACTGGACCTATACATGCACTAAGTGGAGAGATGTCAGAGTGGGCTGCCCATGACAGGCGCTCTGAGCGGTTGGGGGGTTCGGTGCCTTGCTCAGGGGCACCTCGGCAGTGCCCAGGAGGTGAACTGGCACCTCTCCAGCTACCAGTCCACGCTCCATATTTTTGGTCCAGACGGGGACTTGAATAGGCGACCCTCCGGTTCCCAACCCAAGTCCCTATGGACTGAGCTACTGCCGCCCCCCGTCATACTATACTATGTCCTCAAATGCAATAAAAACATCATACTATACTATGTCCGAAAATGCAAGAAAAGTTGCATACTATTCTATGTCCGAAATATGCAATAAAAACGTCATAATATACTATGTCGAAAAATGGCAAAAAAAGGCATATTGTACTATGTCCGAAATATGCCATAAAAACATCATACTATACTATGTCCGAAAATGCCATAAAAACGTCATACTATACTATACCTTAATATGCTATAACAATATCATACTATATAATATGTCGAAAAATGCCTTAAAAACGTCATACTATACTGTGTCGAAATATGCCATAAAAATGTCATACTATACTATGTCCGAAATATGCCATAAAAACGTCTTACTTTACTATCTCGAAATTTGCCATAAAAATGTCATACTATAGTATGTCCTGAAATACCTTAAAAATGTCATACTATCCCACGTCTAAAAATGCCATAAAAACGTCATACTCTACTATGTTGAAATATGCCATAAAAATGTCATACTATATACTATGTCGAAAAATGCCATAAAAACGTCATACTATACTATGTCGAAAAATGCAATAAAAACGTCATTCTATACTATGTCCGAAATATGCCATAAAAACATCATACTATACCATGTCCTCAAATGCAATAAAAGCGTCATACTATACTATGTCCGAAAATGCAATAAAAACGTCATACTATACTATCTCCTAAAATGCAATAAAAACGTCATAGTATACTATGTCGAAAAATGCCATAAAAACGTCATACTATACTATGTCGAAATTTGCCATAAAAACGTCATACTATACTATGTCGAAAAATGCCATAAAAACGTCATACTATACTATGTCCGAAAATGCAATAAAAACGTCATACTATACTATGTCCTAAAATGCAATAAAAACGTCATAGTATACTATGTTGAAAAATGCCATAAAAACGTCATACTATACTATGTCGAAATTTGCCATAAAAACGTCATACTATACTATGTCGAAAAATGCCATAAAAACGTCATACTATACTATGTCCGAAAATGCAATAAAAACGTCATACTATACTATGTCCTAAAATGCAATAAAAACGTCATAGTATACTATGTTGAAAAATGCCATAAAAACGTCATACTATACTATGTCCTAAAATGCAATAAAAACATCATACTATACTGTCGAAAAATGCCATAAAAACATCATACTATACTATGTCCGAAAATGCCATAAAACGTCATAATATACTATGTCGAAAAATGCCATAAAAACGTCATACTATACTATGTCCGAAAATGCCATAAAAACGTCATACTATACTATGTCCTAAAATGCAATAAAAACATCATACTATACTATGTCGAAAAATGCCATAAAAACGTCATACTATACTATGACCGAAAATGCCATAAAACGTCATACTATATAGTATGTCGAAAAATGCAATAAAAACGTCATAGTATACTATGCCTTAATATGCCATAACAATGTCATACTATATAGTATGTCGAAAAATGCCATAAAAACGTCATACTATGCTATGTTCTAAAATGCAATAAAAACATCATACTATATTATGCCTTGATATCCCGTAACACTTGTCATACTATGTATTATGTCGAAAATGCCTTAAAAACGTCATTCTATACTGTGTCGAAATATGCCATAAAAACATCGTACTATACTATGTCAAAATTTGCCATAAAAACATCATACTATACTATGTCCGAAAATGCCATAAAACGTCATACTATACTATGTCGAAAAATGCAATAAAAACGTCATACTATACTATGCCTTAATATGCCATAACACTGTCATACTATATATTATGTCGAAAATGCCTTAAAAACGTCCTACTATACTATGTTGAAAAATGCCATAAAAACGTCATACTATACTATGCCTTAATATGCCGTAACACTGTCATACTATATATTATGTCGAAAATGCCTTAAAAACGTCATACTATACTATGCCTTAATATCCTGTAACACTGTCATACTATATATTATGTCGAAAATGCCTTAAAAACGTCATACTATACTATGTCAAAATTTGCCATAAAAACATCATACTATACTATGTCCGAAAATGCAATAAAAACATCATACTATACTATGTCTGAAAAATGCCATAAAAACGTCATACTATATTATGCCTTAATATGCCGTAACACTGTCATACTATATATTATGTCGAAAATGCCTTAAAAACGTCATACTATACTGTGTCGAAATATGCCATAAAAACGTCGTCCTATACTATGTCAAAATTTCCCATAAAAACGTCATACTATACTATGTCTGAAAATGCAATAAAAACGTCATACTATACTATGTCTGAAAATGCAATAAAAACGTCATACTATACTATGTCCTAAAATGCAATAAAAATGTCATACTATACTTTGTCGAAAAATGCAATAAAAACGCCATCAGAACCAGAATCGGAATAAACTTTATTGTCCTCAGGGAGGAAATTTGTCTTTGACATTCAGCCTGGTGGCTCTAAACACATTCAAATTACAAACATACAATTTACATACATACATGAAAAGTTATACACTACACATTACTGTGGTGTCTGGATTAACCATCCGATTGCACTGACCTTTCAGAAATAATATTGCATTTGTATAATTAACAAAACACAAAATCAATATACAGTCTAAGAGTTTACATAACAATCTCATGACTCACTCAGTGACTCAATGAAGCATGTGTTTTCTCCTGAATTTAACATTCTAGGAAAAATAACAGTGATAAAAATGTCGTACTACACTATGTCCAAGAATGCAATTAAAACATCATACTATACTATGTCGAAAAATGCAATAAAAACCTCATACTATACTATGTCAAAATATACAATAAATTGTCATACTATACTGTCGAAATATGCCATAAAAACGTCATACTATACTATGTCGAAATATACAATAAATTGTCATGCTATACAATGTTGAAATATGCCATAAAAACGTCATACTATACTATGTCGACAAATGAATATAGCGGCCAATAAATGTCACATCACAGTACAAGAAGTCATAGTATTGTATGCCATAAAATTGTCATAAAAAAGTCACAGTACAATAATAATAATAATAATAAAAAGAAGTCATAGTATAGTATGTCATTAAACAAAATCAACAACCATATGTGTTCTTACCATGTAAATGTGTTCACATCTTGTTCCACTGCCCCCATGGCAACGTTTTTCTTCCTGAGATGTTCGCCTGGTCCTGACCTACTCTGTTGTGAGTGGCTGCCACTTCTCATGTTCATGCACTGAGGTCAGAGGTGGTTAGGGTTAATTCTAGCCAGTAGCCACTAGCTCCCCAAGGGGCCCAAAAATATGCTGCTGTAAGTTGTTGATGTGAACATATGTAATATAAGTGATTACGAATCTGTCTGTTTTGGGGTTGACCTAGTAAAGTGTCTCCAAATCATCTCTCTGACTTCAATTTAATTCATGTTGGCATAAGCTTCAACTCTCTGTTACCCTCAATAGGAAAAGAGCAGGTAAACACAATAATTGAAGGAAACAAAAAAAAACATCCCTTCATATCTTCAGCTCTTTCTGTCTCTATTTACCTTCACCTTAAAACATGGATTTTCCACCAAATACTGTATACAATGAGTCAGTCAACAAACACAGAGGGCAAGTTCAAAGCAGTTTTAATCGCATTAAAAGTTTCCATACAGTCATTTACAAGTCTAAGCATTTCCATTGTTAAATTGCCATTTTCATTCTTATCTTCTCCATGCAGTGTCATCGTGAATTAAACAGCAAACACAGACCATGAACACAAAGCCTATTTCCTTTCGAACAAACCCATACAAATTTAAAACCCATGGTTAATAACATGTTAACAGAACAAGTGGGATCCATTTTCCAAACCTTCTGGACCTTTTTGTTACATAACTTGGTGAAAAGTGTCTCACTGTATAGAGTGCTAATCATCTCAGGATATCTCCACATAAAACAGACATGAACAGTTCTCCTTGAAGAAAAGCTTCTCTCCGTGGAGAAGCAACAATCTTGCCTCCATCTCCAGTCCTGATCTCTCAGGATGGATCTCAACACAGAGGCTTGCCGTGCCTCATGTTATTGGCACAGGTCCGGCCCAGGCTGGCGCCCTCCAGGAGTAGTTCGGAGAGTCGGTCCAGGCCGAGGCAGGTGGTGAGGGGGCTGACGAGGCCGTAGAGACCCCCTAAGGTGATGCTGAGGGGCCAGCCGAAGCAGAACAGAACCAGCAGCCAGATGATGCCCCAGAAACATGACCCACAACTGCCCATCCTAGTCTGGGACAAAGAAGAGGAAGATGAAAGTCATGCATGCATTGCAAAGCCAAAGACACTACTGTCACTGATCATCGGAATTCGGGAGGAAGTCTGCCAGAAGTGCACTTGAGGATCGTAAATAACAGCGTGTCAGTCACATCCGTGTTCCTGTGAGTGGCCGCGCCTCTTCAGCGATGATAGAAGATTATCAGATTGAAACGTGCCCTGTTGATGATCTGGATGTACTTGTCAGGATTAGGCAGTGGCCTTGACAAAGCATGATAAGCTGGCAACCTCGAGCAATAACCACCAGGCCTGTCTGCCTGGTGAGGTCAACAGGCCGCCCACTTACAGGGTGTTGAGGACCGACGCTGGCACATTAGTCACCCACTAATAGCAGATCAGCGGAGATCATGCATAACTTTGGTAATGAGCATTACTTTATCTGTCAGCGCTGATAACGGCAGCCAGGAGTATGATATGCTGCTATTTTAAGCCATAAAAATGCCTGTTGTATTATCCAGGAAGAAAAACTGCTAATTGGAATGCTGTGCAACGTGTGAATTCTCCCTACCTGATGATTTATGCATATATAAATGGATATATGGCTGCTAAACATATGTGGAGACGTTTGCTAGAGTGAGATTTTATTTTACCAAGAAATACAACATTAAGCGAGAGGAGCTTTTGTGTGTTGAAATCCACCAGAAAAATCTGCCCTGAGGCCCAGCCTTGAAGTTGAGATTGTAGATCTGATGGTTTTATGGGTGTGAAAGTGTTGTGTGCCGTCAGGCTGATTCCTTAAGTCTGTTGTAGCTTTAAGACACAATGGTCAGCTGCTTCAGCCCTCAGGGCACTGCTGTCTTGACAATGTAATGTGTAATTTCCTGTTGTGACACTGCTGTCTCGTAGGGTTGGACAACAAACAACACATTCAACACGAGTGTGTCCCACAGTGGATCCCGTGCTTTTGGGAAACGCCTTCGCATTAAAAAGAAAAAAACACCAGTGACTAAATTGTTTTAAAGACAGAATAACATTGCACAACCGTGACAACTGGACTCTGACCACTGTCATGAGCTCAAACCTCAAAAACACTTAAGCACTCTGCTGAACTTCCCTTAAATTCTTCCTCTTGCACCTTGTGTTTCTTGCTTCTGTACTGTTTGTTGCAAGCCTCTTAAAACAGTGGTTCCAAACTGCTAGGTCGCGGGCGAAAAGTGGGTCACTGGTTCATTTTGAATGGACCGTAAGTGACTTGCAAACGTGTCAAGATTTTATTTTGGGGTGCTGTTTCATGCTGTAGAGTGAGTGACTATCGGACAGCTGCTTGATGAAACAGCAGACTAGCTTGACGACATGGCCAAATGCAAGTATGACTCTTAGGGTGCTTTCATACCTGCCCTGTTTGGTTAGGTTCGGTTCAATTCAATCTAATTCAAGTCCGTTTGCCCCCTGGGTGCTGTTCTTTAGGCAGGTGTGAATACAGTAATCGCACCTGGGTGTGCACGAAAACAACTGAACCAAGACCACCTCTTCAAGAAGGTCTTGATCCGGTTGTTTTGGTGCGCACCTGAGTGCGATTGCATTGCTGCCGAACCAGACAGGGCAGGTATGAAAGCACCCCAATAGTCATAGGTGCCAGAGTCTGTTTGTAACCAGACCAAGATCTTCAAGAAGGTCTCGGTCCGGTTACAAACTGAACTCTGGTGCGGTTCGTTTGTGATGAGAACGTGTTCCGACCTCGATCCGAACCAACTGCAGTCACATGACACATTGTTTGGGTTAAACATGAGCATGTTACAGTCCTGGAGGATTATTAATGTGCACCTCCTCCTGTACTGCCTTAATATGCACATTCAGCACATCCAATGCATCAAAACATTGTTTTCTAGTTGGAGCCGCGCCTCGTTTTCAAACTGTATGGTTTGACTAAAATGAACAATGACAGCAATATAGTCCACGATGACCAGCGCTAAAATCAACCTGCGTAGTTGTCCCTCCATTGTGACATTAGAAAGTGTCACATTTATCTTGCAAGTGTACTCTTCTTCAATGCTTTGTTTACTTCCTGGATTTTTCCCACATGGGAATTCTGACCAATCAATAGCAGCTTTCTCGCACAAAGCATTTGATCTGCCATGAGAACACGAACCAAAATTAGTAACAAATAAGTCCCTGATTCGGACCAAAGCAAGCGAACTCTAGATCTGAAAGCACCCGTAATATATTAAACTGTGTGGACCTTGAACTCTTGACTAAGGAGAAATGTGGACCCTGTAGCTGGACCAGTTGGAAACCACTGCCTTAAAATGACTGCATAACCAGAAGTCTTTAAAAAATGATTCAAAAATCTGCATAAAATACATTTTTATGTGGCAAATTAAAAGCCAGTATAAAGAGAACAATAACATACCATCTGTGCTCATGACCAAATGCACATTAACAGTTTTACTGCATGCTGTTAGTCCCTGTGACACATCAGCCTGTAGCAAAGGTTAGGAGAGCTTTGCAAAGTAGCTATTAACCTAATGAATACCTGTCGTGTGAGTATAAAAGACATGTTCACCTTCAGCAGAGAAAGCTTCTGGAGGACGTGAGCTCCTGATCTTCTCCTCCCTTGTAGCTATTCCTTCCAGTCTCCCAGATCCTGCTCGAGACCTTCAGAGTGTGCAAGCAGTAGTCACGTCCCACCAGTTAGTGCTAATTTCCTACAACAAGGCACCACAGGCAACTGAATTCTCTCGTGGCCAGCTGGGAGAAAACAGAAAGTTAGTAACTGGTAGGCTCAGCAGAGGGTGGATGTTACACAATGCAGACATTCATGTGACTCAAGAGAAAGTATGCTTGCTGTCATGGGTTTGTAGAGGACTAATCAGATGGATCAGCATGACTGTTCGTGTTACGGCTTCATAAAGTCTGTTGTGGCTATGTTCAGTCATTCAGCACAAATCATGAGATATTCCAGCATCATGTGATACAGTATATTGGTCTGTGTCTTGTGGGCTTCATGCCAAAACTGTCAGTGATTTGTACATGCAGCCTCAGCCGACAGGGATTATCTTCCTTATCTAACCTCTCATTGTAATCCTTTCCTCAGCCGAAAGAGAGGCATATCCTACTACTCCAAAATACTCGGGAGGAACTTCGACCCGGAGTGCCCCGCTCTCTGAAAGTAGAAAAATAGAAGCTATGTGGCTCCACACTTGACTGAATGCAGAGAATGTCTCTCCACATCTATCAACACATGGTTCTCCATCAGGTCTTTAGACTGGCCCAGGCTCGAGCAGCTGTGCAGCTGACCTGTTCTCAGCCTGCCCGAGGTATGATGTAACAACAACCAACCTCTGGTGCATGATAATGAATGAATTTCCAGTCTGTGTTTTTGCCCACAAGGCTGTGGACTGTGTTAACCTCTTCATTTTGAGTGGACGTATGTTTTAATTATCAAAACCTGAGTTTGAACTTTGAATGGTTGCTTTGTCCTCAACATAAAATTTTACGCCTAAATTTGGTCGATAAACTCTAACGCGCTGTTCTGCAGAGCGCGGTCCTTTCAGTACTCCACGCAAAGTTATGAATGGCAAAGGATTTAAGGCTCGCTGGTTGAGAGACTGTGTACATCCAGAGGGTGAGTTGAAATCCCCCAGCATGCACAGTGGCCCTTGGGTGAAGTGACTGACCTACAAATGCAGCTTAGTCGCAGCTTGTGTAGCTGGTATAGGCTGAGCCAATCAGATTTGAGTTGTGCTTAAAGCAGAGGAGGGAAGCAGATGAATGGATGGAAGTATCATGACAGAGAGATTTTAACAAGGCTTAAACATGTTGACTATACACTGTATTTGTCTGGGAGAGTGTGCGTGCAAGAGTGATACAGCTCAGGACCTCTTTAAGAGTATTATAAGCGCGGGTGGGTGCATGTATAGTAACACATGTCACAGACAATAGAGGATTTACTTTTTTTTTTTTTAATAGAAAAGTACTGATGGTTACAAAATTGAATGTTCTAGAAAAAAAGGATGCAACATTATCACCGGGATCTTCTCTCAGTAGAAAACTAATTCAGAATCACTGACTCCCTGCTAATCTTTCCTGAAGGGACAGTCCACTTGGTCCCCTCAACAACTGAGGCCTTTAATTAAACAGTAGTCCCATATGTGGAGCCTCTACTCCTTTTGCTCCTCTCCGCTGTCCTCGCCGTCACTATCGCTGTCTCTGCCGGGATGCTCTGGCATCTTAGCGTGACCCACTGTGTCTTGCTTTTCTTCTTTTTCACTGGTGTCCTCTGAGTTTGGCTCAGAGTTTTTTGCCTCTCCTTCTGGGGTGTCCTGCTCCATGGGGGTTTCTTCCTGTGGCTCCCCGGAGCTAACTGGCGCTTTCTCAACCACAGCGTCGGTCTTGGTTTGTTGAGGAGGTAGTGCCAGTTTCTGCTGTTGCTGCTGAGAAGCCAAGGGAAAGGAAAATATTAAAAATGTACATGAAGATTTTTTGGTGCATTCAACTAGGAAACAATCTATGTTGAAGGCGATGTAGTATATACCATACAAGCAAAATCTATTTTTAACTTGTCCCATCTTCCTTTTTAGGTCAACACAAGAGACAATATGTGACAGTGACTACAGTGTAAAAATCACCTGAGCTCCACTATGAATGTGTTTGGCTTGTGGCCTGTTCAATCTTCACAACTACCTCTTCAACTACAATAGCTCTCTTACATGTGACCCATTTACTGTTCTACATTACAGTTTAAAGTAAATACTAAAATAGCAACCAGGGAGAGACAGTGACAGCTTTAAGCACTGTGCTTAAACACTTAGTGTCACCAAACTTAAAGAAAGTTAAAGACGAACATGTTAATATCGTGTGTACACTCGATACAGTAAAAGTACAAATTTTATATAGTTTTCGGCTGTATTCAAAACCGCCTACTACACAGGCACTACTACTAATTTGGCCAAATTGAGCATGTAGTATGCAAACAAAAGCAAAATTTGCAGCATGCCAAAAATGCTAAGGTGTCTCAGAATCTCCATTATGTATTCGACCAGTCTGCCTCACCCTAGCCTTGGCCCTGACCTTTTAATCCACCTACTCCGCTGAGTTAGAGTTGTCTGGCATTGTGACATGAAACAGTTTTTTTTCCCGGTTAATTAAAAAAAACGACAACTGAGTGCCCTGTGGGGACTTAATTACCCGATCAGTGACATGGGTGGGACTAACGCTGTTGTGAAGCAACGTGCTGGAAATCAACAGGTTTTGCACCAGAACCAATGAGGAGTAATTACAACCATGGCGAGTGCTACAGACAAGATAAGACATTGTTATCGAGGCTGTTCTAAATTGACGTCTTCTCAATATCACCTGACATCGTAGTTTGTTTTACTTCGCTCTGGTCCTGGAGAAGTCATTGAGAGTAGATGGACAATAGAAACGAAGAGTAAACACTTGACAATTCTGTCTGATATCAGACAAACTATATCCAAAAATGCAATGCCTTGGAACCATCACAACAACCCCTTCGTCAGTGGTGGACAAAGAGGAATACACATTTTAACTCTAATTTACTGTTGTGTAGGGAAAACAATTCACAATTGTGACATCTGTAATGAACGTATCACTACATCTGTCCTGCTACCCATAACAAAGCTATAATGTTTAAGTTAAGCCTGCTAAGCTAACATCTGATATTACGAAGAAAGCAACATTAACCTTAAAAAACTGTCAATAAGAAAACAACATGACATGTACATAACTTAAATCAAATGTTAAATTCTATTTGTTGTTATTAGGGACAGAGCAGGTGCAGATGCCCTTATACACAGGTGAACGGACGAAATGTAGTAGTGGTGGTGGTTTGCCATGCTGTTGTTTATTTCTGCTTCTTCCTGGCATAATGCTAAATACATCGGTTTACAAGTGTCATACTGAATACTACCAACGAATTAAGTATTTAGTATGTAGTAGGAGGTTTTGAATACTGCCTTAGTCATATCAGCCTCCTTTCCGCAATATACTTTTGAGACAGTAGTGATATGATACAGTACTATATCCTGTCTTTCACATTCTTCATCATTGTATTTATCAAAAGGTGTTTACCTGTCTGTACTTCTGGGAGGTCTGAATCATGTGCATGTACATATTGTACACAAGGTTGGTCATCTCTGGCATGTTGTTGATGATTTGGTCTGGCTGTCCAGAAGCATCTCTCTGAGGGAAGGAACAAAAAATACCAGTGAGACAAAGACTGTTTCTAATCCAGGATGTGATGGTAATGAAAGCGTATACCTTTCTTTAAGGCGCCGCACGGTAAAGTATGGATCTGATGAAAATGTTGAGGGAAATGACACTTCACCTGCCTGTGACGCTTGTTATTTTAAAGCACATTTCTCACTCACTGCCTCCAGCAATCACTTCTCACATACTATCAAAAGGAATCGGGGATTCAGAGTTTGTAATTTAACAGAATTAGTATGCAGACAGAGTGCGGCAGTCTAAACTGAGGAATGAGGCGAGCAGAATATTTAATAAATACAGGGGTGATGCTCAGAGAGGCCCTCTGGGCATCAAGTGAATGCGCTGACAGCTTCAGTACTGTAAAACTTAACTGTGTGTGCTTTTATTACTGTAAAACTATCAGTAAAAACATCAAGGCGTTTTCCAGTGATTGAGTGTGATTAGACTTTAAGCTTTACCGTCTGTCCAGTACCACCCTACAGCGCTGTAAATACATATATATCCATATGGAGCATTAAGCAGCAGTGTTATCCTTTATTTTTATAACTGCCTCTGAATCAGCGCTGTTAAGTAGTCTGTCAAAGTTCTGGTTCAGTGTTGCCAGACAAAAATCTGACTTTGCATCTGCGTGTAAACAGCAGGGGTTTACTGACTCCAGATAGACGGGCTAAGCAGGGGCCGCATGTGTGTGCCCAAAAGAGCTGTCCCCCATGGGGATGAACACTCTAGAGTCAGAGGAAGTGTCAGAGGCTATGGGGTATTTTAGACACCCCTGTTGCCACACACGCCAGTCAGCGAGACACAGTGACCAGACAACAGTCGTCTCATGCTGGCCTGGCGGGATTTGGGAGAGTGATTTTGCCATCTGACCTTCAGGGGTTAATTACAGCCAGGCCCGTGTTTCCCATGCTTGCAGATGGCCCTGCAGAATGCTGTTAACAGGCTGGGGTCTATGGGTAAAGCTGTGGTAAGACCTGGGACCAGTGAGGACCAGAGGGAAAGATGATGCCATCCAAAATATAGAGGCAGGATTAGATATAGTCAGGGGGCTGTGGCAGCAACGACAAGGAGGGATGTTGGAGAGTGGAAATGGGTCCTGAAGCGAAACATGGAATAGTCGGTTCTTACTGGCAAATATGGAGCTGGAGTGCTTAATCATCAGCCAAATTTAATGAAGTATAAGATTATGGGGTTAAAGAAACTGGTGTGTGCATGCGTGTGTCTACATACGGGCTGTTCCTGGCTGTAGTATTCATGCGGCCTGATGTGCAGCTTCAGGGGTCTGGCAGTGAGCTGGTTGAAGACAGGAGTCAGCTCGAAGCAGTTTTGAAACAGAGACACCCGGGCGAAGATATACAGACCCAGTCTGGCTCTTGACATGGCTACCACCAGACGCCTCACATCCCTGTGGAGTGTTAGGAAAAAAAAAAAAAGTTGAAAATTGGTTTGACACAAGGAGGGGAAAAAAAGAGAAGTGGGAAGAAAGTGTGAAATTGTAGGAGGAGAGGGAAATCATGTGTAGGGGCAAAAACAAAAAAAGGGATCAAAGAAAGGATCAAGAAAAGATTGTAAAGGAAGGGAAAAGCAGTGTCGAGTAGGAGGGGAGAGGTTTAGTGAAGGATAAGCAGCGCAAGGTGAGGGGGACAAACAGAAGCCATGACAGAAATGAAGGAATGAAAGGCAAAGGGCAGGGGTAAACAAGACGGATAAAGAGAGGGAGAGGAGGGAGAGTACAAGAGAGGGCAGATAGGTTACTTTTTATGCCATCCTGTAGAATTAAGAGATTAGAGACAGGGGAGTCATTTGCCAGAGAATGAAGGAATCATGCTTGGTTTGCTGTCGTGCTCTGTTTTAGCGGAATTCCACTTAATGTCCATGTACCCAAGTTAAAAACATGCTTAAATGCCTTCACACACCAAATCAGTATTCTTTATCTGAAGTTGTTATATGTGGAACAGGGCGCACGCACACAGTATTATTTTTAACAGGGCAGATAGTAATATTAAGGTGGATAATGGTGACAAAAAGAAGGCTGTAATAGAGGATGAGGACCACACGCAGACAGAAAGACACAAAGAGAGTGTGACAGAGTGGAGAAGGTGGACAGCAAGGCCCGTGCAGAAAGTGGCGACAGCCAGGGAGGTACCTCCAGAGGAGAGAAGCAAGGAAGCAAACCTTTTGTCTTGTATTACAAATTTTTGCATTCATTCATTCATTCAATTTCCGTAACCGCTTATCCTGTTGGGGGGCCGTGGGGGAGCTGGAGCCTATCCTAGCTAACATTGGGCGAGAGGCAGGGTACACCCTGGACAGGTCACCAGACTATCACAGGGCTGACACATAGAGACAGACAACCATTCACACTCACATTCACACCTACGGACAATTTAGAGTCACCAATTAACCTGCATGTCTTTGGACTGTGGGAGGAAGCCGGAGTAGCTTCGCTGACATGGGGAGAACATGGAAATTCCACACAGAGGGGCTCCTACACCCGGGATACGAACCCTCCACCCTAGATTCAAACCAGGAACCTCTTGCTGTGAGGCGACAGTGCTAACCACTGCACCACCGTGCTGCCATTTTGCAATTAGTAGAGCAATTTAGTAGCCTGGAAATCCAGACCCAAATCTAGAAAGATTTAGGGTCTGGGTATGAGTAATGAAAATGGCCCAACTCGAGGGGCGGCACCAAGTATGCATTTGAAAATATCACTTTACGCAATTGGATAACACTACGACCAATCATAAAAATACTTAGCGCTTAGCTACCAGCGGAGCTAACTGGTAGATTAGACTCTTGCAATATCAAGTCAGCAAAACAGCAAAAACGTCCTTCTTGCAAAGGAAAGATTCGAGCGCCGTCTTCTGTTCCTCTTTTAGAGAAAAAGCCAAGTCTAACTCGTTCACTGTAGCAGCCAAAGCCGTTTCAAACAACTGGTGTTCATCCGTAGCCATCTTGCAATATTTACTGACTGATTCCGGACTTTGTCGTCGCAGCGCTGTCGTCATCTGTTTAGCTCACCTCTGACCCGCCTATATCAGATACACTGATGTGATTGGTGCAGCTTGGCTCCAATGGCATGGATAATGAGCATCATTACTGATTGCCAGAGTGACTCGCTGAGCAAATTCAAATTGTGCTCTTGCGAGAACTCTGGATTTCCAGGGTAGCAATTTAGCGCAACAGACTCAGTGTGCAAGGTTTCTGTGTGAAACAATTTTTAACAGATAACAGATTTAAAGAAAATTTAAGAAAAATACGGACTTGATGTACAAAGGTCTGCATTTGACAGCCCAAACTTAAGACACAATATGTTACGTAAACAAAAAAAAGCATTCTCATAGTACACATCCCCGTATTCTACTCTACTCTTGAAAGTTCTATACATGACACATGGTGAAATAGAGGCTGATATTCTTGAACATCTAAAAAGCCACAAAAATGTTCTCTTTCACAAAGAGAAGCAGCCATGAAAAGAAGGGGTTATCTTTCAAACTGTGTGCATGAAATAATCTTTGTATTGTGTGTTAGAGGTGTTTGGATGGGCAACGTAATGGAGCTGTGCAAAGTATGACCAGCTGGCCTGTAAATCTGTGAGTAAAAAGCATACTGGCTTATAGAAATCTACAGAGCACGGAAGGAGGCAGAGCATATGAGGGGGAAGGAGTGTTTGTCTTATTCAAGCAGCTCTGCTAAGAATGAAAACAGTCTTTGCTTTGACACACAGTCTGGCACACACCCATGTGTGTATGCAGCACACATCAACACATATATATGTGGAAATGTAGCCAAAAAAATGTGGAATATGTCCACCTGAGTACTTCATGAGATTAAGAGGATTAATCCTTGCAATATGCATGATGAGTTCCATGAATATGTAGAAAGAAAAAAATGGCTTATAAAAACCATCGTGCAGGGTTTATGAGTGAGTGAGTGAGTGAGTGAGTGAGTGAGCACGTGCAGCCGGTAGGTTTATGTAAAATTACTGCAAATGGTACAAAATCAAACTTGAAAGCCCAACATTTCCACAGAGACAAACTACAACAGCCTGCAACCAATGAGCACAGAGCTCTAGAAAAGATGAACCAATCATGAGGCATGATAGCCTGTGGACATGGCACTACTGAGAGACGCCCACCTGTGCTGTGCTGCGACATGGCAGGGCAAAGTGGACGAATACCGTTCGCGTGTGTGTTCTCACATGTGTGTTTATGTGTGTGTGTACATGTCAGAGCGTGTCTGGATCTGTGCTTCCCTGTCAAAGAGTGTGCTCCTGCATGTGAGTGTGCCTGTGTGCATCAGCAGGGATGCTTCTCCTGTCAAACCAAGGGTCAGCTTGTCATATGGTCAGCTGCGTCCCCTGTGGTTGTCACGGCAGCAGATTGCCATGAGGACAGATGCAGGAAGAGGGGAGAGTACTGGGGGTTGGATTGTGAGGTAGGACTGTGGTACACCACAGTGATTCCAGTATGGGAAAAACACAGTGGACAGCACAAGAATTTCCCATGAACCACTGCTCTTTCAACCACTCAGCTGAGCACTTAGAACACCAAGATATGAATGAATATTAGTGTGTAGGATTTAGGGGGAAATATTGGCAGAAATAGAATATAATAAGTATGTTTTATTTTGTGTATAATCACATGAAAATAAGAATCACTATGTTTTTATTACTTTAGACTTAGTCTCTATACAGACTCTACATTCAGTGAATGTAGAGTCTGTAGGCAAACCCCGGAGATCTTGCCTCCGGAAGAAGAGCGGAAGAGCCCTGGTTTCCGGTGCTAGGCTGTTTGTAGTCCGCGTGATATTGACCAATCACGTTTGAGCCGGCTGCAGTTGTTGCCAGGTTTAACGGTCCATGTGGTGAACTAACGAGGCGGAACATAATTGGCGTCACTGCAAACTCTGAATCCATCGCAATGGTTCAGCATATTTACTTATATATAAACGGAAGTCGGAAATGCTTTAGACTGAGCACTTTTTATCTAAAGGGAGCGGGTCCACATTTACCAATGATCCTCTACCCACACCCCAGAATCTGGAGCAGTGGTTCAGAGAAGATGCCCCCTTGCTCCCTTTGCCAAGCACCTGCATCACTAAGCCACATTTTAACAGGGTGCACTACAAACCTCGCCCAAGGGCATTACACTTGGAGGCATAACCTAGTTCCCAGACAGTTGGACTCAACCTCAGAACAGAGGCAAACCACTGCAAATGCTTTCCTACAAACAGTGGCAGTGTCCACTTTACACCATTTGTACCCACAGGCCAACCTCCAGAGCACCAAATAGCATCTAAGGATGCAAGCTTTCTGCAGGCTGCTCGGGATTGAAAATGAACGCGGACCTAGAAAAAAAACTTGTTTCCCCGCACACATTGTGGCTTCAACACTCAAGCCAGTCTACTGAAGAAAATGGAGGTGAGGGGTCACTCCAGCAAAAAGCAATCAAGCCCTTGTCAAATGCGGCAGAAAAACCAGCAATTGGCTTTGGATTAACAGGAAAGACAACAGCTGGACCACAAGAAGACAGGAGCGTATGGAATAGGGATGGACATTTATGTAATTTCCATATGTGAGTACTTGAATTAAAGTATTCAAAGTACTCACGCACAAAAAAAGTATGGAAAGGAATACAAATTGGCCACCAAGAAGGAAACAAGCACAATATGAAATTCATTTCAAAAGGGTTTTGAAAGAAGGAAGAGGAGGAATGTTTGACACCCATGAACTCAGCTGATTAGATTTAACGTAGACTGACAGCATAATCAATCAGCCACACAACTGCCATCAAATTTTGATTCAAATATTTTCATGCTGAATTACCAAAAAACTGTTCTAATTCGTGCAGAAAAATGTGTGTTCATGAAGCTCATCACTCTTTAGAAGCTAATTAAAAAAACTAGGGTTTAATGTCCTTGATACAGATACTTATCTAGGAGAATAGAAACTCTAGCACTGCTGTATACCCTTCACTATCTGCTAAGTAGAGTTCTCACACATTGTTACAAGGACAACCTTTGACAACCTTCCCACTTAGTGTGGGCTGAGAATGTGTATGAGGCAGGGTACAATATCCAGTGTAAGACAAGATCAAATGAAAGATACCAAGAGGAAAGCAGGCGCTGCCAGCAAGATAAACTACCACTTTCTGAGGCCTGCTGCACTTCTCATTCCCAGCTATGTCAATTCATTCCTTTATCTGAGAGACGAGAAAAGAACAAAATAGAGTTTTAAAGTGTTTTCTCTGCCGGCTAAAAGTGACCAAGCTCAAGGATGGGGTACAGAGGGGGCGATGCATTTAGCTAAAAAAGGAATGGCTTGTTATTTGCAGTGGGGTTCCGATTTGCAGACTGTCCAATGTGAGGGCGGGTAAAAGCACTCGCAGTGCAGCTGTGATAAAGCTGTGAGCGATGCAATTCCAGAAGCAGCTACTGTACATCACAGCATGGCAAACTGAAGTACTGGGGAAGAGTTCAGCCTCAATTGTCTGGTATTAAAACAAGCAGCACATTAGGTGTGAAGAGCTCATCGGGGTGTCACGGCTGCTGAGAAGTGAAGGGCCATTTCACTACAAATCAATTCAGTGAAATGGGGAAGGAGGCGGTGATGAAGAGAAGAGGGAGCAGAGAGATAAGAAGACGGAGCTGAAGACTGAGAGGAAGAGGCCAGCAAGGGAGTACAGCTGAGCAAAAAGCAATGGGACATGGAACAAAAAGACATAAAACCTACCGCTGCAGTTGGTTAAACATCATGCCTCTTAATGACTGTTATATGGTACGCCTTTGATCACAGCAGAGCTCTTTGTGTGATAGTCTCACCCCAATCATCAGAGCACAATAGCTTCTCTGAACCAGGACAAAAAGTACAGCCGCTCCAGACATGTTCCTGTCCTGAAGCACCCTTTATCCTCCCTGCCTTAAAAATTAAGCTCATACATACTTGAAGACAGCCGCAGTGTTATTGTCTTCTTTTTCCTTTAGCAAACTTCATTCAGTAGTTAAACATGACAAAGGGAGAACGCCTCCTGAGAGCAGCTGTCTCAAGAGAGTTAAGTGCCTACATTTTTGCTGTGTTGCTTCCCTGGAGGATGTGTATCTTAGGTGCACATCCTATTAAACAAGTATTTTTGTAGTAGAATAGCTGCTGAAAGTGTCTATTTTAGGTCAGGCAAGTTTTTGTGCTTGGTATGCATTGAAGTAATTACCTCAGGTGTCCCACGGCTTTGGTGCGGACCAGTGAGAGGATGATGTAGTCGTTCTGCTGACCCTGGAACCTGTCCACTGTTGTCACCTGAACAGACACACAAACATGTTCTTTATTGAACAGAAAAAACCCGGCACAAATATACACATACATATCAAAAAACTGCTAACTAAGCCATGGCAGCTGATGTATTTTGCAAAGTAAATGAGTGTGTGCATTTTAGGTAGGTGGAAGGATTTGGCTGAAATGTTTAGAAACATGAAGGAGACCGCTTTCCGTCTTAAATTCTTTTTCTTCTTTTTTTATTTATTTTGGGGGGGGGGGGGGTGAATGATGGCGCCTGTGTTTTCTTGTTATTGCTGTTATCGCTGTGGGCCACATGGGCAACCGGCGGGGCTAATACGGCTTAGAGGGCTTTTGCCGCCACTAGCCTCTTACCTGGCCCCCCTGAGACTCAGGGCCAAGGTACTGAGGGCCCTGGTGCTTGACTGGATCAGAGATTATTTCAGGGGGGAGACAGAGAATGGAGAAGTGACTCTCTGTGGGATTTTTTTTTTTCAAAGCAAAAGAAAACTCATGTCAGCCAATTTGCTTTTATACCCTGGTAATCCTGTCTTGCTGAGAAGCGTACTTATTCCTGTACATGAAGAACAGAGCTGTGTTTTGACTTTGCCAGTGCTGTTACACCTTACATAATAAAGAAAACATACTGCACTTCCAGCTTGATACAAAGCGAAGAAATGGAGATGAAACCATGTAAAAACTGAACCCATCAGACACAGTACTAGCTGTACTGTATGTACAACTGCTCCTACAGCCTACATGTCATCAACATCTATATGCACGGGCTTTCAAACTCTCACAAGTTTGGTCCTGCTGTTAAAAGAACTAGCCTGATATTGCCAGACCTAGGGTTTCCAACACATTCTTAAAATTTGTGGTGGCATGCCACGATTTAAACATCTTTGATGTTTTATTTTTGGAGCTGGATCGTTCATTAGGAGCACTGTTATATTTACCATTCAGTTTTTTGTTGCTCCACACTCTTGCAGTGCAGAGCATACTCTGGGCACAGACGGAGCAGTAAAAGTGAAACTTTTTATTTGTCTGCTCCTCTCATTTCATCCTCCCATGTTCTGTTATCATCAGCTTTGCTCTGATCGACTAATCAATTATCCAAACCACAATTCAAAACTCCACAAACTGCTACTGAGGGGAAAAAAAGAACTCCCGAGGAGTTCCGTCTGCGCTGTATTCACGGACGCGCAAAAACCTCTGAATAAAGGCAGTGGACACAGACTGATTAACAAGGATTCCGCGAAAATGTCTCAATGGCGCTTCTGTTAAATAAGCTATGTTTTGCTTGATATAGTGTTTGCGGCGTGAGGGTAAGTGAGCCAAAAATGGAGCCATCACGTATTTGCACAAAGCGCAAAGGATCTGCAAGTTGTCAGTCGTCTGAAACACGCCGCATTTTGGATTTTTTAAGCTCAGAGTGAGAGCGAGTAAACAAGCCAAGTTAGCCCTCCATGCTAATGCGTTCTAACTACGCTAATGACAGATCAGAAATGTGGAGGGACACTTGATATCAGACAAAAGCCAGAGACTGTATCGTATTAAGTTGCTGTGAGCTGTAAATTCACCACTTCTAAGCAGAAGGCAAGAGATAACGTTATCTTTAAGCCTAACCGGACAATGCCTTTCTTCCTCCAGGCAGCTGCCTCCATCTCACTCTCCCCCAGACTCACTCTGGGTCTGGGTCTGCAGCTGCCTGTACCGGTAGGAACTCCCGTAGGTAGGGTGTTGGAGTACTTAGGGCTGTCCGCCCACCATGTCACCAGAAGAAAAAAACATAATCTCTAAGAAGCATAATTGAAATGATTAAAACTGATGGTCACAACAGTCCTATAGATGTTCTAGGAGATTCCCAAATTTCTATGTTATGTAACACTGATGTTATCCTTTCAAAAAATATATAAAATGGAAAGATAAACGGCAGAAAATATTTGTGGAACCAGCGTGTCCACCCACTTGGTGATGGCAATGGCAATGGCAATGGCGACCAAGTAAGAAGCAATAATGTTAGCCTTAACCTACATAAAGCAAGAATGCATGTAAATAATGGTTACATAAACAAAACAGGTCAAAAGTCTTCCTTATTTACCATTGTACAAAATATACTACTGTGCAGTTAAATAGGCCTTATGTTGCAAAGTCCAAAGCCCAGCAGAAAGAGGTTGGTCTTTCCACTATAGATCAATTCTGTAGAGATCAATAGGTCATCAGCTACCATCAGGAAGCCACACTAGTCCAGGACTACAGCAACCAACCTATGGACCAGCCATGCTAAATAAGTCATCCTGTGGTCGCTGTTACCTCCTATTAGCTAATGCCACTTTCAGTGACCCTAGAACTCCCTGTGCCAAACCCCTCCAGCACCCCTTTTGGGCAACAGGAAGGGAGTGTGGGCACAGTGCATGTGAACTTGTAAAAGAGGGAAAGATGGGACGAATGATGCAGCAGACCAATATTTATTTACGTTTCCCTGTTGCTATGTAGAACAGGTGCAGCACCAGAGGCAACAATATGTCTGTTTTACAATAGCATGAGGCATTGCGGGCTGTATGTCCAAGTCAAATGTTTAATGTTCAACTCAAACAGCCGCGGTATGCATGCATGCACGCACATGTTCTCACAAATGTGGTATACACACACAATGGTCCATCACAGCCTTTGCTGAAGTAGGCTATAACCGCATAGTTTTTAACTAAAACAGTACAACTTGTTTAGCAGAGAAGGGGCGCTTAAGAGGGGGAGTTATTCTTAGCCCACAGACAGTGACAACCAAGCCCAGATAGAGAGTCTCCCTAAGGCGTAGCATTTTGCATGGCGTTTAGTTATTTATGAGCAATCTTCCAGGGAGTGAATTACAGAGGTCATGTCATTGTGGCACATGCATGTCTGCGGAAGAAAGAAGGAGCACAGACACACACAGAATATTCTGTGAGACCCATATTTGTCCTCACACACTTTGTTGCCAACAGAAGCTATTTGACTGTGAATCACTTTCTTCCATCTTGCCCTCTTTTATTCTCACTGTCATGAAAACAAGCAGGCCAACTCTAAGCAAATGGCCAAGTGTAGATCTCTCTTCTCTTTCTTTGTTAGTCACTCTATCCATCCCGCTATGTCTTATTCACGGCAATTACACCTTGGGGTCAGAGTGCTGGATTATTCAGCTTTTCAGTTAACAGTGTAATGTCTTATTTCTTGTGCCTTCATCTTGTGTTTTCCTATCAGCCTTAAAACAAAAAAAAGGCAAGCTGGGACATGCTGGGAGACGTTTCCCTATATATGTCAATATATCTGGTTAAACGAAACCTGTGTTCTGGTCATAAGACTTTCTTTTCTGTTATTAAAGAGGCTCCTGCTCTCAGGAAAGATGGAGAAAGTGTGTTTATGTGTGTGTGTTTACAGCCAGCCATATGTATCAATGAAATGAGGGATGCAGACGCTGAACTCAAAGATTCAACATGAACACTACTCCCCTGTAATTCATCTTGCTTTAACTCTGTTAATGTGCTTTCATACTAACTTAACACAGATTAACTCAATGAAAATTGCTCAAAATTCCAAAAATTCCATTATTAAGTTTCACTGCATGGCTGCTTGTCAGGACTACGTTGAGGGATGCAACTGATGCAATGAGTTTGTACCAACAGAAAACAAACGCAGATGGACATTGTCTGTAAAATTCATAGCGTAAACTAAAAAAGCATCATCATTAAAGAAGCATGCATATGTGTGCCAACTGTTGTCTTTGAGATTCAGCAGACAGCTTGGGCTCAAGTGTTTATTTGATTTTGGGACTGTGACTGATGCTAACTGTCCCTACTCTTCTTCTCTCACTAATTAAAGTCATTGCAGTAAAGTGGGATGGCTGTTGACATTTGCTCGGTTTTAGCTATTGTGACACATTCCCAGACACACTGTGGACCCAACGCTCTGCGCCATGACCTTTCAGCTGCTCAGCATTTTCCCACAAGAGCCCGTCTTTCTTTTTCATCTCCCTCCCTCTCTGGCTGTCTTTCTTCTCAGCAAATCTAACAGCCTGTCACCCCTGTCACTTTATTACCAGGCATGCATACTGACTAAGGCCATGAGCACAATGAATGACACTTTATGTCGTAACATTGCAGGACATTTAACATGACCAAGCACAAGTTCTGGCGAGCTGTCAGAACAGGGAATAGACTTGAAGACAAAGCAACAAGGTAGGATTGCACAGCACAAAATAACAGACAAAACAACAGGAGATGAAAGCCTCCAGCCCTGCAGGAGGTAGAATGCACCACGCATACAAAGACATGAGAGGGATTCACTTCCTGCCTACTTGTTAGACAATTAATAAACAGTAACAATCAGCAATTTGTGCTTTGCCCTCATGTGTTAAAGGATAAGGCTGATGATATTCTGTATTTTTCTTATTGTCAACAAATCCCATTAAAAAACCAAAAATAAATAACTAAATTACATAAAATGGCCATACTAACAAAGCAAGATTCAGCTTAGACCTCCATTTTATCTAAGAACTATGTATTCATGACCCGTTTTTAAAGATTTACTTCTTACGTCAGGCTGGAGAATCGTATCAAGCAACAGACAGGTTCTGGTCTTTTTGATAATCTTTGTTGCCAACAAGAAAGACATAGAAATAGAGTAACAGCAGCACTATCTTTTCTTAAGCTTATATATGGTTAGGCTGATGGTAGGGCTGCAACTATTAGTTGTCAACTATTTAATAAAATAATCTGATAATCGCTTAATCCGTTAATTTTTAAGAAAAAATCAGTCAAAATTCCTTGGTTCCAGCTTCTTAAATGTTAATATTTTCTGGTTTCTTTACTCTTCTATGACAATAAACTGAATCTATCTTTGGGTTGCTGACAAAACAAGACATTTGAGGATGTCATTCAGTACGTTTACATGCATGCAGTAGTCAAGCTAAGCTCATAGCTCGGCTAATTAGTCAAGTCAGACTTCTCGTCTTGTCTGAGTATACGTGCAGAAGACAAAATCCAATTTCT